GGACTGCTGAAGAATGATGGAGGGTGGCTTTGCAACCACATCTGCCAACTCACTCAGCACTCCACAGTGCAGTCCATCCAGCCCCATGGACTTGTGAGCATCCAGCTTTTGGAGCAGGTCCAAAAATCTCACCGTGGATTATGCAGGGCCTATTCTGTTCCCTATCCCTGTCTACCAGTGCAAGGGGCTGCGTTCCCAGTGAGTAACAAGTCTTACTATTAAAGACTGAGGCAAAGAAGGCATTAAGCACCTCTGCCTAATCCTGATCCTTTGTCACCGTGTTGCTCTCTGCACCCAATAAGGAATGGAGATTCTCTCTTGCCCTCCTCTTACTATTGGTATATTTATAGAAATATTTATTGTTGTCTTTCATCTTAGTGACTGAGTTCAGTACTTGCTGGCTTTGGCCTTTTTAATTTTCTCCCTGCACAGCTTCACTACATACTTATGAGGATTAAAAGTTGCTTGCCCCATCTTCCAAGGACCGTAAACTTTCCTTTTGTTCCTGAGTTCCTGCTAAAGGCCTCTGTTCAGCCAGACGGGTCTCCTTCCCCATCAGCTCATCTTCTGTGACACGGGGGTGGTCAGCTCCTGCACTTTTGAAATAAACTTCCTGTCAGTGGTTTATGTGCTGCTTCAGCCTGGTTCCATGACTAATGGGGGGGGAGGGGGGAGGAGGGGAACCATGGACCCATGCCCCGGGAAAAGGGATGAAGAGCTGGGCCTAAAAACAGAACAGAAGCAATGATCTGAGGAGCAACAAACTGATTTACTCAGTAAGTTATTGGCATGCAAAATAACATGCTATGGTACAATATGATTAGAATTGGAGCTAATAAATAAGATTAAATGAGTGTCTGAAAAGCTTAAGGCCTTACTCTAAGTAAGCTGAGGTGATACGGCACCCACAACAGGGATGAGTCAGGTGGTCAAAAAGAAGGGGAGTCTCATGATCTGCAATCAGTTTTTTTATCTTTCCCTCTGGGGGGAAATGGTAACAGAACAACAAGCAGTCCTCTAGGAGATATAGTTATTCTGTTCTGGAACTGGAGCATTAACTCTAACTCTCAGTGCACTACATGATATTATGATGTGGAATATTGGTAACAAATCATAAAACCATAACACTTGTTTAAAGTGTTCCTAGCCTTCCTGGGCTACTATGCCTTCCAGAGCTACCTCCCAAGGGGCTCTCTAAGCCATGGTCCAAAGGAGACCAAAGTCTGCTCTCTCTCGAAGTCCATGGTAGCAGTTCTGCTGACTCCCCTCCGTGGTTCAACAAAGACTGAAAAATCTATCATTTCATGATCTCTTTGCTCCCGATGGCCTCCAACCTTTACATCCCGCACAAGACCTTCTGTGTTAATAAACAGCAGGTCCAGGATTTTGCTTCCCCTTGTTGCCTCCTTCACCAGTTATGTCAGGAAGTTATCTCTGACGCGCTCTAGGAACCTTTGGGACTGTTCCCTTTGTGCTGTATCATAAATCTAGCAGCTGTCTGGGAAGTTGAAGTCCCCCACAAGAACAAGGGGGAGAGATCTCAAGACCTCACCCTACTGTTTATGAGGTATCTTATCCACTTCTTCATCCTGGTTGGGTGGCCTATAGCAGACTCCCATGATAATGTCAGTCTTATTGGCCTTTGCTTTTATTCTGACCCATAAGCTCTCAACCCTATAATCACTGTCATTAATTTCCATGCACTTGCATTCTTTCTTAACACAGAGGGCTACGCCACTGCCTTTCCTGCTTTGCCTATGGCTTTTGAAAAGTCAGTAGCCATCAGTCACAGCACTCCAGCTGTGTGAGTCATCCTACCTTGTTTCTGTAATGGCAACTGTGTCATAGTTTTCCAACTGCCCAATGATCTCCAGCTCCTCCTGTTTGTTATCCATGCTGCATGCAGTGTAAATGCACCTGAGCTAGGCCACCTTTTGGGTGGCATAAGCTCTAATACTCTCTTGACCGTGTTCAGGTGTTTCTGTAGCCACCAACCTCACCGCAGCCCTTGTGTTCTTCCTACATAAAGGTGTGTTGCCCTTTTCCTTCACCAGGGTACAAATCTTACTAGCACATCTCCCTCCCACAAGCACTGGCATGTTATGTACAGACTCCTTTCTAGTGAGCATTTTTTCTTGAGCATGTCTTAGATTACAGTGGTTGTGTTTGAGTAGTTTCCAGCAGTAGTCATTCAAAGCCACGTGTGGACCATTGCATGTGATTTAGAGTGTCATTGTTTTACAATGACTTTATGAAGTGTTGAGTGGGAAGAGACAGCTGGCTAGAAGAATTACTAGTGGAGACAGTTTGCTTTCTTCAAGAAAGTAACTACTGTCTGATTTATTGAACTTCTTTTAAAAATAATTGTCCTGGAGTTTTAGCTTGCATTCTGAATTGCAGTGTTTCCTCTGAACTACTGGCTTCTTGCAAATATAATGGCCAAGTTATCTTCCTTTTTCATGAACACTTCCTTTGAATTTCATCTTGTGCTGTGTCTCCACCACATTCTTCTTATGCACTGCTTCTCCATGCTCCACTTGTACTTTCTATGACTTTAAAATGTCATCTGCCTTTGGCTGTAATTCATCTTGAATCCTGTGTTGTTTGTAGGAAAGTGTAAATGGTTGGGTAGATGGTAGATATTGAATTATTGATAGCTTGCTTTGCTCTAGGGTGAGAGAGTCATACTGAATCACTTTCTGATGGGAAAGTGTGTACACATATATTGACACATGGCTATGTATTTTATGCTTGCGTGCCATCGTAATGATCTTTGAGGCAATTAAATACGTCTGTTAGTTGTGAATGACGTGATTCTTTATTCCACTGACAGATATCTGAATTAGATTACATTTAAGCACTACAGGTGAAGTTATGTTACACACTCATAACAAATGATCTGCTGCTGAGGAGCCTTCCTTAGTGATGTGTTCTCCTTGTATGACAATTTGGACTCTGTATGAATGAGACAAGAAAATCTGTATAAATTAAAACGTAAAGTCTTACTATGGTACTTTTGAATTTCCAGTGCAAATCTGTATGTGTATTAGTATTAAATGTGGTGTAGTGTTAAATGTGGAGGTTGGTGGCCCTGCCTGTGGTGGAGGGGTTGAAGCTTGATGATCCTTGAGGTCCCTTCCAACCCAAGCCATTCTGTGGTGTAAGGAGTGGATTTCTTTGAACCATACTGTTAGTCATGTAGCATGGTTAATCTGCAGCATTCCTTAATGGAATTGTAGGTTTTTGATTTGAGACCTTTCTCAGATGCCTTGTTAGAACAGTATGGAAAAACTTGGCTAGGTTTCTGTGTTTTAACTAGTTTTGCTATTGCTAATGTTGACATAGAAGGTTGTTTATGAGGTTATTTATGAGCTTTGTTAAAGCTTTCCTATTACAGAAAAAAACAACCCTGCTACTTACTGTTGATAACATATCTATTGTGTTTTTATTAGCCTGAGGACTTAAGTTTAAATCTCCAAAACTTCTGTCTGGAGATCTTCACACATATTTCTGCTTCTCTCATCATCAATATTCTATTGCAATGCAAAAAGCACACGTAATCTTAAATTCTAGTGTTGGAGGGAGATTGGAAAACATGTAAATAGCCAAGATTTTTCTTCCATTAGGTAGGAGGTAAGTCCCAGCTATGATATCAGTCTCTCACACAGGTGTGCACAACCAAACAAGAGCAACAACAAAAAAAGCACCTTGCAGCTGTGTGTAGCTGTCATCTTGAGTCGGTTCTTATGGAGAAATAAAATTCCAGAGAGCCTTGGGAGACTGTATATATCTCTGCTGGATTTTGTAATCCCTGCAGCAGATGACTGAAGATAGTAAACTCAGTTGTATGTTTGTTTGAATTTGACCTTAAACTGTAGAAACACAGGGAACAGCAGAGAGGAAACACAGCATTTTAACCTTTTTGAAATGCTGACTTATGTTTTCTTTAAATTTTCTTGGGGAGGAGGGGGGAAAGAAAGTTGTATCAACACAGTAAATACATCATTGCTTGCAAGGCAAAGCTGTGCATTGTTAGTTGCTGTAAAATTGGAGGGAAAACAAAAGTGTTAAGGTATACATTTTGTGATATACTGCGGGATCATAAATGTACAGGAAGTCTGTAAATCCACTAAGGTTACGTTTTCTGGGGTTTTTTTTTTTGTAGATTTCTATTTTAAGTTGTATCTTCAGAAATACTTCAGAATTATTCAGCTGCAGTACTGCCAGCTTGTGCTATTATTCCTTGTGGCTCTCTTCAGAAATTTCTCAGATCTTCCATCCTCCACATCTGTTCATTCATGCTATCTGGCTGCAGTCTGGGCAGGAGGTGGTGTCTGATATTGCTAAAGCTGTGCTGGCAGACCAAAGAGAATGCTTTACTGCTGAGCTTATGCTACATTCTGAACCCCCTCAGGGAAGGTTATTTGGAAGTTTGTTCTGCCAGTCCTCTCATGGAGACCTCAGGGAATCGTTTTAATGTTATTATTTTTTAATTTAAAGGGTGATAAGAGAGAATAGTGGAAGTGGATGTGAAAGTTAATTTCTAAACATTATTTTCCTTAGGAACAATCACAGCAATGTTTTCTGTATGCAGGCTGAATTGTGTGACTGTGGCAAGTCCTGCACAGCTTTTCAGGCTGTTGGGTGCTGCAGAGCCTCCTGAAATCTAATAGCTGAGCAGGCCTAAGTGTCTCTTCAACCAGCACAGCATAGGAAATACCTAATTGCATATGTTTAATTTGCAGAGTGTGTACAGGTGTGTTTGAACTGTTGTTAATCTCCCCCAGGGTAAACTGGACTTCACTGCCCTCTGGTTAGAAGTGTATCTGAGTAGCATAATATAACAGTATCTGATCTGAGTATGCTTTATGCCAAGTTCATTCACAGCTATGTAATCTTGTGCCTTTAACTTCTTTGCTTTTTTTTTTTTTGTCTTTTAACAGTACTTTAGCAGTCTGCTTAATTGAGTGGGTTTCCCTTTTTTTTTTTTTTTTTTTTAGCTGATGCAGCCCAACAGTTCCAGTATGCAGTGAGAGTTATTGGAAGCAACTTTGCTCCTACTGTTGAACGGGATGAATTTCTCGTGGCAGAGAAAATCAAGAAAGAACGTACGTGCGTTTCTGTTTATTCCTCTGAAGGTGGAAATGTTCTGCCTCACTTACCTAATACTGATTACTGTTGTTATTGCCTGCCCCTGAAAATCTTGTGATGGCAATTCTATGAATCCCCTAGTTGCTCTTCTGAGTTCAGATGCTCGGTTTAAATTTCCCTTGCGTTTGTACAAGCCATTGACTTTCCATCTTAGCCACCACAGAAATAAAGAGCAATTTACATTACTTTTCTTTCATTTTAATATTATTCTGACTTCATAAATTCATATTTCTTTTTGGAAGAGTGATGCCTTTGAGGTACGCTTTTGCACAGTTGACTTCATGAGCACGTATGAGCACGTGAATCTTAATGAATGACCATCCTGGGGATGGATGGAATCACTGTTCGTGCAACTTACCTGATATTTCTTGCCTTTTGTTTTCCTAGAAGTTTATTTACAACAATCTTCCCAAAGCCAAAACATTAGACTGTGACAGTAAGTTATTGCAGTTACATTCTGCTCTGCTCTGTGCTGCTCTGAGTGTTGAGCTCTTAATCCCATTGGAGCGTGAGGCATTCTTATAAAGCCAAGTAATGCTTTCAGCTCTACAGTAGGATGTTCAGAAGCAGTTACTGATTAAATTAAAGCTTCTATTTGTGCTCAGGAACTTTGAACATTTGGTCAAGATGATTGAATTAGAATAACTGAAGCCTGTGGTTGTAACCTTTTGAAGTACCTTTGTATTTTTTTTGGTAATGCAGGGCTTCCGCTACTTACTCACAGACAAATAAGCTCATCAGAATTTCTCTAGATACAGCTATAAAACCCTGTATTCTACAGTATACACTTTCCTGCATGTTGAGTTTCTGTATCTTTTGGCCAGCACTAGGCAGCACCGCAGTGTATACGCTTCTTCTGCTGGGGCCTGTTGCCCCCGTGAAGCTGATTATCTCCATCTCCTCAATTTGAGCTTGTAGGTTGATTTTAGTGTCGTGGAATAACTGACTGGATATATCCCCCAACTTTACATTTATTTTGGAGTTACTATGTGGTAGGTGACTTAATTGATTTAAAAAAAAAAAAAAAAAAAGTACGTGGCAGTGCCTTTTAATACTAATTAGCATTTCTGTTGTCTAGCAGCAACTGTTTTATGATTAATGTTTCTTTAATGTTTGCCTTACCTTTTTTATACATGACTCTTTCTGGTGTAAAGTTGGCTTTCTGAAGATGTCTTTAAGCTTAAAAATACTCCTCTTAGCAAAGACTTCTGTTATATAACAGACAGGGATCAAAACTTACTTTCCTTTATATATTGAAGTTCTACGACCTTGAAATTCTTCTTAACTTAGAACAAGTGGCATTGCTACTTTATTTCTGTATTAGGCAGTGAAAGCAAGAAAGGAATGATAGTTTTAATGAGTTGCTTTATAGTGTTCTTAACCCATATCTGCCTTCAGTTATGTGCTGATTCCCAAACCCTACAGAAAGGCACGCTTGATTTTAAAAGGGCTTTTTATTGTTATATGTATGTTTAGAAAAATATCTTTGTTGCTGTAAGAGAAACGGTTACTACTTACATTTTGTCATATCCCCTGCAAGAACTTTCAAGGGTAGGAATGCAGATAATGTGAAAAAAAACTCAGAAGTCTGAGTGAGTAACGCAAAACAGTTAAGCATCGTTATGCTTTCTTGGTTATGTTTTCCTATTTACCAAAATAAAATATAGTTTCTGACATGACTATTATTCTTGTTCTAGTTCTTTTCATCTATATTTATCTCTTTCAGTTGTGCGACAAAGAAGGGAAGCAGATGCTGCTTTGTTTTCAGAACTCTACAGAAAGCTCGGTTCACAGGTAGTGTAATAAAGATGTGAAGAAACTGAAAGCACACTCAAATTCTTTTGATATTAGAGTTGATTTTGGATAGTGCTCAGATCAGTAACTTCTTTATTTTCCTTTTCTTTCTTTTTTTTTTAACTGAGAGGAAGATTGAGCACTGGATCAGGTTGCCAAGGAAAGGTGTGGAATCTCTGTTCTTGGAAATGAATTCAACAGCTGACTAGGCAGAGCTCTGGGTAGTCTGCAGTATATAGTCTTGCTTTTGAGCAGAGGTATTGAAATAGATGATCGTCAGAGGTCTTTTCCTGCCTCAACCACTGTATAATTTTTGTGAAAAGTTCAAAAATTACAAACTTGGGTGTATATCTTAATTATGTATGTATTTATGTATAGAAATATCAGCAGTTTGCTTTTAATTAAACATTTTAAATTTGAACAGAATAAAGGATACAATTTTTTGACTACAGTTTTAAAAAAGATACTTTATAGGAAGAAATTAACTCTGTAAAAATAGAAGTGTTTACTTTCTTAGTATACGAAATTGAACATTTTTCTCATTTTATGGCAGTGCTTTGTAAGTTTCTACATTTTTTAGTTAATCTCAGATTTAAAGAGTCCTCATGCTTCTGAGTTTTTAAATACTCCAGATCTTTGTTGTTCAAGGTTAAGGGCTTGCTGAATGTGATAGCTGTGCTAAAACCAGCGTTTGTCAGAGAACACTGTCTGTTGTTTTCCTGACTAAATGTTGGCATATAGAAAGGCCATGGTTGAGAACAATGGATATTGAATTAAAGGAGGGAAAGATGTGAGGAGAGAAATTTAGCTTAGGGAGGCGAAAAATGACTACTGCTCATCTGTTCTGGTTTCTTCATAAAGGTTGAATGTTCAGCACAGTAGAATATGCTGAGCCTTAATAAAATAAGACTTCCAGTTGTCATTCGTACATTTGTGGTTTTTTTGTTTTGTCTTTTTCCACAAAAACAAATGAATCGTAGAATATCCTAAGCTGGAAGGAATACACAAGGATCCTCAAATAAGTCTCCTAGCTCCACACAGAAGCACCCAGCTTTCAAACCCTGTGTCTGCGAGCATTGTCCAAATACACCTTGAATGCTTGGGGCCGTGCCCACAGCCCTGTGCATCCCGCTCCATGCCCACCGCGCTGTGGTGCAGCCCCTTTCCCTTCCCCCAGCTGCCCTCCCCTGACAGCTCCATGCCGTTCCCTCGGGCCCTGTCGCTGTCACACAGAGCAGAGCTCAGCGCTGCCCCTCCGCTCCCTGTGAGGAGCTGCAGCCGCCATCAGGCCTCCCCTCAGCTCCTCTGCGCTGAGCACACCGGGGGCTTCAGCTGCTCCCCACACATCTTGCCCTACAGACCCTTCATCTTTGTTGCCTTTCTTTGGATGTTCTCTAATAGTTTTATCTTTCTTATACTCTGATGCCTAAATGTGCACCCAGTACCTCAAGGTGAGGCTGTGCAGAGCAGGACAGTTCCTCCCGTTACCCAGCTAGCAGTGCTGGGCCTGCTATTTTTCTGTATAACAGTCAAATTGCCCTAATTTTTATTTCAGCTTCAAACTTTTGAAGCCTCCCTTAAGAAAGTTGAAGAGGAAAGTGGAGAAAAGACTTCTTTTCTGAAAGAACCTTTGGAGAAAATGCTGTTTGTTAACAGTCATACCAGAAGTTTGTTGTCTTTACTTATGGTGTTAGATGCAAGTCCAAGGTGTTTTAAATGGTGAAGTATGTAAGAATGCCAGCAAAGTTCAGCTCTGTATAATTGTCTTTCTTAGTAGCTATAAGTTTTAAATTGAATATACTTGCTGATTTTAGGGCAGGTGAGAGAGTTCATGGTTTTAACACAGTGGAGAAAGTTCACATAATTCTGTTATGGAATCCACGTTGCACATTCCTGGTTTACTCAAGGTTAATTGTATTTGTGTGGTAAAGTTATTTATATGTGCACAGTTGACTGGATGACTTAAAAAAAGAAACATAAAACTATTGAGAGTTACGACCAACTTGGTTTTTTTGTTTTCGTTTTTGAAAGGGCATTTTGAAAAATAAATGGTCAATACTCTACCTCCTGCTTAGCCTCAGTGAAGATCCACGTAAACAATCTAACAAGGTAAGTGAGAGACATTGTTAGTTTCTAGAAACAATAAATCTGTTGCTTAGTTGAGATGTCACAGAGTTGCTATTCAGACCTGATGAACACTGTTGGAAACAAGGTTGTGTGTGTGGTTATGTCAAATGTATTCTTTCTCTCAATCTTGCACACAAGTGTTTGCATTTTTATAAATTATGAGTTGTTTATCATTTGTAGTCTGACTTCTGACTTTGCTAGATGGTTTTAGTTTCTGTTTGGTGGTGTAATGTCTATTCATGTGCAAGTAAGTTTGAAGTGGAATGATAAGAAGAAAATTCCTTCTTTAGTTGCAGCTTTGCTAGCACCAAAGTTTTTTTGCAGCTATAGCTAATGACAATTCACAGGCAAAAATAAGCTGTATTTCTAGAGGGACTTTCCCTTACAGTCAGGGACTTGCTCTTTTGTCTTAATTATAACAAAATTATTTTCTTTGCATAATCGTGATCTTCAGTTCTTTCTTGTATTCTTGACTGTTGCAGTGCAATTAAGACATGACTTATTCACATCTCTTTCCTTTTTTCCAAATCACTTTTCAGGTGTCAAGTTATGCCACACTTTTTGCTCAAGCGTTGCCACGGGATGCTCACTCAACTCCCTATTACTATGCCAGACCTCAGAGCCTTCCGCTGAATTACCAAGACCGCAGTGCTCAGTCTGCCCAGAGTTCTGGCAGCATGGGGAGCAGTGGGATCAGCAGCATCAACTTGTATGCTCTAAATGGCCCAACGCCAACTCCACAGTCACTCCTTCCAGGGTAAATTAAGCCTTTCTGTTTGATAGGTGGGTTTGGGGAAGACTGGCAATGAACTGTTTATTCTTCCTTTTGTATTTTTTTTTGTTTTATTTTGTTCCTCCTCCCCCATTCTCTCTGGTTGAATCCCTTTGGGAATTCCTCGGTAGCTGGAAGAGTTCAGCTGGAAGTTTCTGAATGTCAGGTGCTGTTATATGATGATCTGAAACTGTAATTGGCTGGCCAAGTTTATTTATTCATAAGCTTAAGTGCCTGTTGTGCAGCTGATGTTTTACTGAATCTGCTCTTGGATTCTAATGCCAAATCTTGTCTTAAATGTCTTAGTTTTCTGAAATCCTTTAAAACCATCTTTATTTTTCTTCTGTTAAAAAAAAAAACAAAAACAAAACAAACAAACAAAAAAAACTTCATAAGAGTTCTTCTCAGGCAAGCTCCTTTTACCAAGTAAGTGTTCCTCTGCCAGTGCTGAAATAGTAAACTTGATGTTGACCATTTTCAAGTCAAGATCTGGCTCTTAGGCATATTCTCTGCTACTTGGGTACAATATTGACACCATGTTGCATCTTGAGTGGACAAGTTTTCTTGCTTGTTCTTTTCTACCCAGGCCTAAAGTTCAATCTTGAAGTGCAGTTACCTTCCCTGGTATTCACATTTGTACCATCCAATATACTACTGAACAGGCCAGTGAGACCCGCATCTCACAAAATCACAAAATGACCTGCAATGATCATCTAGTTTCAAGTGCCCTGCTGTGTGAAGGTTTGCCAACCACCAGACCAGGCTGCCCAGAGCCACATCCAGCCTTGCCTTGCTTGCCTCCAGGGATGGGGCATCCACAACAGTCTTAGTCAACTGAACTCTTCAGAGGAAGTATTGAACTCTTCAGAGAAAGTAGCACAGAGCAAAAGTACTAAGTCAGCTATGACTGTTTCATCTAATGTGTTAAATTGAAAGGTAGACTAACCTTTTAGTCAATCTACATCTCTGAATCTCAGGGTGGGAATTTGAGCTGTTTGGTTACTTCTTGCTTATGTTAGGTACACACAGCAGGAAGTGATGGAGAAACTTGAGGAGACAAAGCTTCTTTCAGCTTTTTTTCCTAACATGTTGGATTGACCTGATCTAGCAGTTAAAGACCCACCCAGCTGCTTACTCACAGCTCCCAGTCCTCATGTCAGGACAACGGGAGGAGAAGTTGTGGGTTGAAGTAAAGACAGTTTAACATGTGAACCAAAGCTGTATGTGCAAGCAAAGCAAAATATTTATTTAATGCCCCATAAGTAGACAGATGCTTAGCCACTTTCTGCAAAGCAGGTAACAGTTCCTTGAGAAGACAAACGGCAAAACCAGCAATGTTGTGTCTTCGTCTTTCTCCTGATGTTTGCTTGCTCAGCATATTATGTTGTATGAAATATCCTGTTGGTTGGTTTGGATTCATCATCTTCATTGTGTCTCCTTCCAGCTTAGTAACAGTAAAAAAAAAAAAAAGCATTAATTAGATTTCATGATTAACATAAATCCGCAACACAGCACCCCACATGTTGCTATGATGAAAATAGACTCCATCCTGACCAGACTTAGTGAAGCTGGAAATACTGCGTCTGTCATATGCTATTGAACCATCCTAGCAGCAGTAGGGATGTATTTAGTGCTTTGCATAGATACAACAAATAAATGAAGGGGAAATTTACAGTTTTTCTTCCAAGATGAAAATTATGTTATAGCATGTTAGTTATCTTTCATACTGCATGTTTTAAGGTGATTGAAGATAAAACTAACAGCTCTTCAGCAGTAAGAGATTCTTCTTAGCCTTTCAGATGGCTTTTAATATTTCTGATTCATAGTGGCTACTGGCTAAGGAAGCTAACAAGAAGACTTGAAAAGGGAAGTCTTGCAGAACTTTTGGTAAAGACACAAAATAGGTGGATTCTTTTCTGTCATGTCAACTCAGGATTTCAGGTGAAATTTGCCTTTTGAGTACAGCGTACTAAGCTGACTAAATAGACAGTGCACATCACTGATAGATGAAATCTTTTCTTAAATGTTCAAATTTGCAGGTATTGATTACTGTTACGATTGCATGTTCATTTCTGATGTTTTTCATGATAATGGAAAAATGCTTATTGGGTACTTTCAAGATAACCAGAAATAGCAGTGGAAAACTGTTCAAAAGAAGTGAGATTTTATTGGGATCCTGCAGTTACTGAGATGTCTGTGCCAGTGTCCTTTTGCTGCAAATTCTTTTTTCCTGATGACTTACAAGTATGCTGGCAGCAGAATCTATAGACTAGGTCCTTCTGTGTTGAGTGGAACTCTGATCTTTATACTTCTTTCCCATGCATGCATTAGTACTGCTTCTTCTTGTGTGGTATTTGACCAGTGACCAATTCTATCAGTGTTTCTTCTGTGTGACATCACTGTATTTGTGTATCATTATTTTTTTGCTTCATCTTTTATGGTGTAATTCACTGGGGTGTTCTTTGATTGGATTGGATGAAAGGCATGAGAATTCTAAAGAATTTGTTAAAGATGTGCAGTTCAATTTTAAGTTTTCCTGGGCTAGCCAATCTTTCAGACCCCTTTTGATGATTCATACAACTAGTTAGAAAGATGTTAGAGAATACTGTAATGTCTTTTCTTCTGGGTTACAAAGGGATTTTCCCTTGCAAATAAGGGTTTCTATATGATTCCTTATTAAGATGAAAGGAGAGTGGAATAAGTCCTATCTTGGGAAATATATATTTTAATCTTTAGGTAGTTATATAACAATCCCATTGCTATTACAAATTGCTTATTTAAAAACAAAAAACAAAAAACTACTTCATAGCTGACAAGGATTGTTGTTAATGTAAGGTCTTACCCAGTGGTAATGAGCAGTCTTAGAGATAATGACCTATTCATATTTATAAGAATAAGAACTCCATATTTAGATTCAAGTCGGCAGAAATCCTGTGACTGGTTTTAACATCAGTTTAGCATCCTTGGACATCTAATAAATGGTATTTAGATTTGTGTCAAAATGGATTATCTTTGTGGGGTTTTGTGATGACAGAATCAACTTTTCATCTAAATCCCAGGTGTTTATACAAACGGGGGGAAGAGCTCCTGGAGAGCAGCTCTGCAGAGAAGGACTTGAGGCTCCTGCTGGATGAGAAGCTGGACATGAGCCAGCAGTGTGCGCTTGCAGCCCAGAAAGCCAACAGTGTCCTGGTCTGCATTAAAAAAGGAGCGGCCAGCAGGGAGAGGGAGGTGCTTGTTCCCCTCTACCCTGCTCTTGTGAGGCCACATCTGGAGTACTGCGTCCAGGCCTGGGGCCTCCAGTACAGAGTGGAGCTCTTGGAGTGAGTCCAGAGAAGGGCCACTAAGATGGTCATAGGGCTGGAGCACCTCTCCTATGAGGGAAGGTTGAGGGAACTGGGCTTGTTTAACTTGGAGAAGAAAAGGCTCCGGGGAGACCTTATTGTGGCCTTCCAGTACTTGAAGGGAGTGTATGAACAGGAAGGAGAACGGCTGTTTACGAAGGTGGATTGTGACAGGACAAGGGAGAATGGTTTTAAACTGAGACAGGGGAGGTTTAGCTTAGATATTAGGAGGAAGTTTTTCACACAGAGGGTGTTGAAGCACTGGAACAGGTTGCCCAAGGAGGCTGTGGATGCCCCATCCCTGGAGGCATTCAAGGCCAGGCTGGATGTGGCTCTGGGCAGCCTGGTCTGGTGGTTGGTGGCCCTGCACATAGCAGGGGGTTGAAACTAGATGATCATTGTGGTTCTTTTTAACCCAGGCCATTCTATGATTCTATGATTACCATTTCATAGCAATTTCACTTTCTCTCCTTAGGCCTGTAGCTAGTTAGCTGGGCAACCCAAATGAGATTGCTCTGTGTGCATCATTCCTCCTGTACTTCTCTTTATACACGTTGCCTTTTGTTTCTTGATGTACCTTTTTGAACCGTAACAGGCTAAATTCAGTATTGTACTGTTGAGGCTTTAGAAATGCTGAATGCAACAGAGTTGCAGTGTTTTGGAGGCTTTGTTCTTGTTCATTAGTTACATGAATTATGGTGCAATGAGTGGGGGAGCAGAGGCATTCCTTGCTCTCAAGCTAAGGTCATCTTTTATAACTTGTATAACTTTGACTCTATAGTTATCAACTAGTTATAAAGTTTTGAAGATATTTCCTTCTTTTGTCCTTTTAGACAATCCTATCAAGCTCCTGGTGTTGGAGATTGCCTCCGTCAGCAATTAGGGTCACGTCTTGCATGGACTCTAACTGCAAGCCAGCCTTCTTTACAAAGCACTACCTCAAAAGGCTTTTCAAATGCTGTCTCACGTGGCGTACCAAGGTCAAGGCGAGAAGGAGATACAAGTGGTAAGCACAGATGTGTCTGCTAAAGTTAGCTTTCTACAACTGAAATAATTTTGGTATTAATAACCACCAGCATTTTTAAAATGCTTTTGAAATAGCTTTGTAGCATGTTGAATGTTACAAGGAACATTTCTAAAATGTACTTTATAGAAGGATAGAAGTAAATATGCAATAGAGTAGTCTGTGTGGCCTCGGTATCTTTGATTGGTTTTAATTTATTTTTCCCGTATTTGGTTTGGTAAGGTATCTTGATCTTCTGACAAGATTGTGACTTCGTTGCAGTGTTTGTCAGAATCAAGTGATCATAGCTGCATTCTTGGTCATTCTAGTGTAGATGAAAAGATGCTACGCTTTTAGGAAGTCAGAACAACAGCTCAAATAGAACTTGCTGGAATGCAGCAAATCATTTGTGATTCTGTATTCCAAAACTTGAAACTGCATTAGAATATAGAACTTTTAATCCTATTTTGTTATTTAAATTAGTACAGTGTTTATAGTGATTTTAATTGAAGAAGTTACCAAAAATCTTGTCAGTAAAATTAAAAATAGATAAATTTTTAGTTAAAGAACCAGTTTAGTCCTTTAAGTGGCTGCAAACTTGAAACTGATGTCTAAAGGATGTATTCTAATTTTACAGAAGCATAACTGAGGATAAACTGTTTAGCAGGTCATCTCTGCAGCAACTGCTGTAGAAGTTTCAACCCACTCTACTTTTACTATAAAAATGGGAGACTTCTGAATAAGAGAGTTAATAGTAGATGTCATGCTACATTACTACTGCTCTCTGGCAAAAAAGAAAAGAAAAAGAAAAAGAAATGTTGTTGTTATTATTATTATTTTTGCTTAATAACTCTTCTGTAAAAAATCATAAATAGTCACAATAGTCTATCTGCCAGCTTCTGCTGAACTGGTCAAATATGTTAAAATGCAGCTGAGGTCTCTTAACTGCTAACAGGACACAAAGCAAATAGAACAGAGTTGTGCTCTTGTAGATGAGGGTGAGATTTGGCAGCTAAAACCAAATTAACACTACTGTTGATGTGGAAGGGAATGGGTGCACTTCTTCTCTCTCTCAAATCTAGTACTGCCTCCTACTTTTGCTGTCTTGATAGCTACAAAGAGTAGTAGAGACTTATTTCATTGAGCTGGTCAACTGCAACTCTTGATTGTGGAATGGATATAAGGACCAGCAGTTCTTTCACATGTAGTTGCTTGCTGAAGTAGTAGAACTGCACTCAGAATGCGTAAGGCTGTTTTCAAGAAGATATATTTCAAGAAGATACATTTCTGTGAATATCTTTTCTTCTAATTAAAAGGGTTTTTTTTTTTTTTCTTTTAAAGTTGTTTGCTGTGGGTTATTGATACACAGACATTATAGACAGGGAGCTTTGCTGTACTATTTACAATTTCACTAAGAGCTCCTAAAAGAGAATAGCTACACTTGCACATCTCTTGAGTTTATGAAAGAAATTTGAGTTTTGAATAGCACCTTAAGGCAATGGCTACTTTTGCTAAAAGAGGAATGCCTTTTTTTTGTTGTTGCTTTTATTCTGGGTAGGTGGATCTATATGAGAGGTAAAGTGATGAGGATAAGAGTGCTGTCAAATCTGGGAGCAGAATGTTGTAACATCTCAATTTCTGGATGGTCTGGATAGTTGAAATTGCTTCATTCTTGATGTCTTAAGTGAAGTCAAGAAAAGAGTTGAAGCTTTATAGCCCAGAGGAGGTGGGAATAGTTTCAGTGGCCTGTATAACATTTTTCTCAATCTGTTATTTCCTTTAAATCTCAAATGTAATCTAACCTCCAACTGTAGATATGAGCCAGAAGGCAGAATGAATGCTGGAATAGCAAAAGCTTTACTAAATCAAAGATTCACAAACAATACTGCTTTCTGCTGGTCGTTTCTGTAGTTGTTACACAGCTGATGGACTGATTTTTATTCACCTTTTTACACTGAACAGTGACATTCAACACTGTAAGATGCTTTTAAATAAGCAACTCTCTATTCTGAATTAACTCTGATATACTCTAAGCTACAGATTATTCTTGTAAGACCCAGTTAAGTATTTCAGCTGTTCTAAGAAGGGTGAACTTATTATAAAGCTTACTTCAGAACTTGCATTGTTGATAGGATCAGAAAAAATAACAAGTTTAAAACTTGTTGAAGTATTCGTGAAAATATAACATACTACCTGACCTGATCCAGGTATTGAGGAGTTCTTGACTTTCCTTTCACTTTGTTGGATTAAATGTCTTTATTTATTCTTTACAAGCTCTTTTTTTTTTTTTTCATTTGGCTGGGCGTCTACATACATTTTTAAAGTTGTGATCAAATTGAATTTAATTTTCCTGGCAAATCTAAGCACTTTTTTTCTTTTTTTCCTTTCTAGGCTCTGTTGAGATAACTGAAGCAAACCTTGTAAGAGATGTTTTGTATGTCTTCCAGGGAATAGATGGCAAAAACATCAAAATGTGCAATTCTGAAAATTGCTATAAAGTTGAGGGGAAGGTACTGTATGGGGATTTGTATTTTTTGTGTTAGAAGACAGATTTTTAAGGGAAAGAACAGCCATTTAGTTTTAACAGAGTAGCTTTAAGTATTACTAAGCAACCTTCTGTTTTCAGTCAAACCAAGTTCTTGCTTTATGCATTCAGATGGACAGAAGGAAAGTCACTATCAAACAAATGCAGGGGCAGTATGGAGTGAAATTAACATTTTGGGGTTTTGTTTGTTTTTTGTTTTGGGGTGGGTTTTGTTTTGGTTTTTGTTTTTTTTTTTTTTTTAGGAGGAAATTCAGGTGGTTCAAATCCATGTGGTTTTTTGCCTGCTTTCTCTTCTACATCCAGAAGCAAATACATAGAATTCTGTTTTTTTATATTATGGCAGCTGTTAGTATATTGCCTAAATATACTCTAAATACTTACATTCAGAAATAAGCACACAAATAGTGTCATAATTGTAATGGATAAGTGTAGTATCAGAGTTGAAAAGTGAAAAAAAAATAATATTGTGAAATCACAACTTTGGAAATATTTTTGACTGCTTTCTCCTGGCTGCTGAGTAAATGAGTGAGATAAAGGAACAGCTGTCATAGTGAAGGCTGAAAGTTCTTCTGTGTTTCTGTATCAAAAACCAACATAAATATACCGATAGAAATTTAAAAATAATGGCTGAACTTAGTTCCCAAAAGAAACCTGCATTTTCTAAGTTGTTCAGAAGTAGTACCAGGCCAACAATTTCTAACTACCAAGTTGGACTCAAAATATTAAGCCAGTACTAAGACTCCTAAGTTACAGCTTTATTTGAGGACTTCTGCCATCATTTGCCCTCCTCAGTGTATAAAAAAAGTAATGTAAAGTAGATGCAGGCTTTTGACCACATTTTTGTTGGTCTAAGACTAACAGCTATGATACAGAATGGATGCTAGGCAGCCACTTGACCTTATGGACTTGGTTGCAAGTTACGGGGGTTCAGATGAGGTCATGCAGTTGGCTCTAGCTGCTTTAACATCTTATTCAGTGTTTAGAGGGTACTGCATCACACTTCAATTTCAGCTCACTAATTGCTTCTTATGTTCTTGTTCAAATGGAAAGACGATGTCTCCGAATCTCACTAGCATTAAGAGTACATACAATACGATTGTAAAAGTGTTGGGAACTACTTCTGGGCCATTTCATATCCAACAGCGCAGTAGACTTGTGTTAATGTTGATGATATCAGAACTGTCTTTTTTTTTCTCTGTAATAATAGCAAAAAATGACATATCTCATTGTTCCTCCCATAGGTTTGTAATGACGTTTAGGGCTGCTTGTGGGAATGGAGACCTTATGTTCATTTAAATTGTGTTAATACATTGATTAAGGATGTCATGTTTTAAACCTGCAGATGCTGCAAAATTTCTAATTCCTCAACACTTGCACTGTGATAATTATATTCCGTATCTTATTTAGATTATATGTGGCAAAGGAAAGATAGGGCAACAGGTTTTTTTTTTAAAGCAACATAGAGAAAATGTAATGATTGATCACAAAATTAGTGCTACGGATTTTACGACTTTTCTGCATGAATTCCACGTTGCATAGGCTAGTTTGAGGTAAACAACTGTGCTACTTCAAACCCCTAATTCTGTTAAATCTGGGATTTTGATTATTTGAGTCCTTTGTGGTCAATAATGCTGCTTCCTTAGAGCTTTGTGTCTTTATCTGTCTTCGTTTTAATTGTGGAGTCAGTTGTCTTCCCTCCTTCTTCTTTGTTGCACTTATACTGTGCTACAGTGGAGCTGCAGCTGGTACTTACTGATGAGAAAGGACCAGCCATGTTGTACCTACTCTAGTTGTGTTGACTGCTTGTTAAGAAAAAAAAAAAAAAGTCAAAACATGTAGTTTTCCCATAGCTGCACAATTTTGTCTAAACAGAGAATGGAAGCAATCTTCTATTTAAAAATGCTTGTAACATGCAATCATTTTCCAGACAGTAACATACTTGCCAAGCTGTTGATTCTTACTCGAATGTTTTCTAATGTCAGCCTTAATATTAGATCTGTTGATGACATTCAGCACTGTATAAGCTGAAAGCTTCTGATTAGATCTAACAGATGCAAATATAATAACACTAAGCCAATTTTGCTTGTTCCTCATTTGATTTCTGCGGATGTGTAATTGTGTTTAGTGTTTGTCAACCATTCGTTAGAATTGTTGAATTTAGAATTCATGGAATTCTAAATAGTTTTTATTGCATGTTGTAGCTGTGGGCAGCATTTCTTTGTGTGTTGAACCATACTTGTTTGGGCTTGAATTTATTCTTTGGAAATTGTTCAAGCACTTGAAGCCATGTTTACATGGCTAAACAAGAAAGCTAAGGACTGAACTCTGATCTTAATATCAACTGATCTGCCTGGTTCAAGTCCACACTGTCTGTCTCATTTTGTAGCTGATTTTTCTCTCAAAGCATGTTTCTGTACTACTACCTAAGACACTTAATAAATGAGCTAGATGTTCATCAATCTGTTAGCTTGTTAGTGCTCTTCTTTGCTTGTGTTTGGACTGTTCCAGGTGGCTCTCAAAGACAAAATTTTCTGTTAAGATAAGGCAGGCCCAAGTGTTGTGGGTGAAAGTCAATTTCTGCCTCTTGGCCTAATGGATAACTCATAGTCCTTGTTTTCTTTTGTCAAAATTTTTAAAACTTGATTACATTTGTTCTTTGGTAACGTGACACAATGGGGTAGAAGCACATCTCAAGCAAGAACAAGAGGAGAAGGCAGTGCCCTTAGTGATGGTGACTGAAGGAAGAACTGTATTGTTTCAGGAAAGAATAGTGGTAGTTAAATAGACTGCAGGGAACTAAAGCAAGCTTGCAACATGAAGTGAGACAGTTAGTAAAAGAAAAGTAGAAACAGTGTAAAGGAGCTCAGATGCACATGATGAAATATGGAGTAAAAGCTGTTACTGGTGGATCTAACTTAAACTTGGAATTCTGATTCAGTAAGTTTTGGTTTCTGATACCTACTCTGGCACTGGATTATTATATTCTGTTGAAGATTTGTTTCACATGTAGTAGTAACTAATTATTTTCTCTAGGTTTCTACACTTGTTTCAGTCACTGGCAGCTTTTTTGGAGACACAGTATTTTTATTCTTGATTTTCAGGATAAGACGAAGTGTGATACTAGATCACCTGTTTGTTACTGTCATAATTGATGAATGTAAAAAGAATGTGTGAATGCTGCAAGATTAAGATTCCCAAAAAGGAAGATCCCAAAGTTGCCAGTAATTTATCTGTTGCTGTTGCCTTTCCATAGGTTACGTGTATTTACTTAATGCTGATTACACAGCTGTCTGGTTTTTGGTACTGTCCTTGCAGTATAGGTTAAAACTATGCATTCCTGAAAATTGGCTTGTTTTATGAAAAAGACTTTAGGGAAGAAATGGATTAGCATGCTTTGACTTCTACTTACAAGGTATTGTTTCTGTTAATTTTGTAGGTGAGCTTGTCCAAATCTCTCAGAGACACCACAAGCAGACTTGCGGAGTTGGGATGGCTACATAATAAAATAAGAAAATACACAGACCAAAGGAGTTTGGATCGTGCGTTTGGACTCGTGGGTCAGGTAGGTCCACTGAAAACAGTTGATGTTGCTACAGTGTTTTGGTCTTATTTCCTTAGAAACCACTGAGTAAAATGCAGAACTAGAATGATGGGTAAACTTCAGAGAGTTCATGGCTTGGATCCTTCATCCTTCAATTTATTCATTTTATGGACTGCCACTGTTGGTGTGGGTCAAAGACTGAAGGCAAAGGGCTGTTGCAGGAAGGTTTCTTGTAAAGAATCCTTTTTTTTTTTAATCTCACTTTTTTACTGAAGTGTTTATGCATGTCTACAAATAAAAACATTGCTTAAATGAGATGATGGTGTTTCTGAACTAATCGCTTTCTTAGTTGTTAAGGTGACCTATGAGGAGACGCTCTTGTCTTGCCAGCTGATGTTGACGGTCATGTGTTAATACTAATTAACTCTACATAAAAATGCAAATATCCCATTATCATCTGCCCTTTCTTTTGAATACAACATCAAAAGAATGTCAATTTTTGTTTCTATAGGTTTCATCATCATGATTTGTAGTCTACAGTAACTTCACAGCTGCTGTAATACCCCAAACCACATTTACTGCTAAGGCATTCTCGTTTCCTCTCACTTGCTTCCTCTGTAAAACTGGATATTATCCCTTCTGAGTCGACAGAAATGTTGTCCTTGCCTCTAGCCATTACATCCTACCTAATCTGCAAAGAAATTGAAGTGCTTCTCCCTTCAATCTAATTTTTCTTAAGAGGTCAGTAGAGATACTGTAGTGCTTCCTACTATTCTAATGTTTTATTCTGTTCCCTTCTGTCTCTTACTCTAAGTAACCCTTTTAGCTACAAATAAATATTTTCTAGTGATCCAGTGCTGATTTCCATGTTTTATAAAGTAGAATTACTGTATATACGTTTCCTTCAGACTCTCCACGTTTTATATGGGTGAATTTTTTAATTATTTACCTAGTAGGTCCATACTTATGCTTATTTTTCCCTGTCTCTGCCTTTAATCTATAAGGTTACAGCAAGGGGAGAACTTTAATTCTTCAATGAATATAAATGTTCAGTATCTTGGCTACCACATGTAGTTTCAGATAATCAGAAGAGGGCTGTGCAGATAGCTAGATGAATCTGCATAGTTCTAATGCTGTTAATTTTGCTTGAGGCAAATACTTACCTCATTTTTAGTGCATAAGTATACAAATAAAAACATTTCTAATCCTACTGTCAGTATCTGGACAAAAAGTATATTCTGTTGTTCTTCACTGCTAATATAGCTGACAATTTCAGGTGCTGTACAGTGCTTTAAGAATTTACACACAAGAATGCTTTGTGCATTTCAAAGCTTCATTTGCTTACTGTTTTAAAAGAATGCTTGTCTAAACACGTTTGAACAACATGTAAGATAAGATGTACGTAGAATGAGATGGCTGTTTTTACCAGACAAAATATCAGGAAGAACAGTTATTGAAGTAGAGGTATATCTATATACTGCACTTCAGTGTTTGCTGCTTAATATGTAAGTTTTAGTGAGTCCTCAAAAATCATTGGCAATGAAGTGAAACTTGCCTTGTATTTTGACATTTTGCCCATTTGAAAAAAATATCAATTTTTTTAGCAAGCATTTAAAATGTTTTCTCTTCAGCAAGCATTTTCTCTCTTTCCTGAGCTGTCTTGCTGTGGACTAAATCAGAATTCACAGGATCATAGATTGGCCTGGGTTGAAAAGGACCACAATGATCATCTGGTTTCAACCTCCCTGCTATGTGCAGGGTCACCAACCACCAGACCAGGCTGCTCAGAGCCACATCCAGCCTGGCCTTGAATGCCTCCAGGGATGGGGCATCCACAACCTAATTCTAGGACAGTGTCCAGTTTTCCATGACATTTTGGGAAACAAACATCTGTGTTTTTCAATGCTGAAATTGGCACCGAATGTAAATTTTGACTTTAAAGTCATTGATACTGTTTTCACTTTTTGTATGCACTTGCAGTGCGTGCAAATGTTTCATTGGAGGCTCTACTCTGCCCTCTGTCTTAACAAATGCTGCTTTAATAGGTTTCAAAATGTACTGAAGAAGCAAGTGAGAAGAAATGAAAAGTGCAATTACACATAAGGGGGTTTCATTTTGCCCTTCAGTATCCTTGGAATAAAATGAATTTTGTATTGCTTTCTAACTGATGAAGTAGAGCTGAAGAAAGGAAGGCTTTTTCTTCAATAAAGCATATAATAGCAAGATTCATTTGTTTTGTTGTTGTTTTTTTTTTTTGTCGTTGTATTTTATTTCCCTAGGACTCTTAGTGTCTTAGTAGGTAGGCATTTTGTCAGGAAAGATTTATTTTTTGCTTGTTCTTGTAGATCTATGCATATACATATTTTAATGAATAAATATTTTACTTGAAGCTCTTGGGTTCATGTGAGGTGGTTTTCTTCTTTTTTCTTTTTTCACATTTCTTAAAATGAGTAATTCTCAATTGTTAAAAGTATCAAGAGCATCCTTTGTTTGTTTGTTTGTTTGCTTTGTTTTTTCCAAAAGTGCTTAAAGCTCAAATTTTTCAGCTTGGTACAAAATTGAGTTGTATTGTTACTTCAGTTTTAGAAAACGTTGCACTGATGTTTTCAGTTTACAGGCCAGGTTAAGAACAAAAATAACAAACACAATACCTGAGACTCCCAAAGTGTGGGGCATTATCCATTATGAAATGAGTATTCCTTCAAGAACTATCTTAAAATAATCTTTATATATTTATACTTCAGTAACCCAAAGTCTCTATGCTTAGAATTGTTACACAGAGAACGTTCTTTTCTTTAGTTCTGACCTATTAACTTTTGCACTTTCTTCAAGTTTCTTTGTGTATTTTCAGTATTAATCATTTCCTTTATGTGAAGGGAAAAATCATCTATAGCTGTCAATGGGTAAAAGGACAGAAACTTGGATTACTCAATACAGCAGCACTTAATGGGAGTATTCCTTTATTGTGTTTTCTTGTTTATGCCATAATCTATACAATACACATAATAATAGCTGTCTAACTTAAGGTGTTCCTTTATTAGAGGCCTTTTTGAAATTGAAATTCTACTCTTCGTTACACAATGCCTCTTTTATAATTAAAAAAAAAATCTTCTGGGTTAAGTTTTGCTTTGCACTCGCTATGGTAATGGTTAATGTTGTCATTGCCATGATAATACAGGCATGTTGTCATCTGACTTTGTTCTTGGAACAGGAACTGCACGTCTCTAGTGGAAGCACTCACATGTAGGCCGGTTTTCTAAGACTCAGCATATGTGGTGAAACTTTTAGCTCAGTTCCTTTAAGGAAACTTTTAACCACATTCACAGAGTGATGGTAGGATAAAAAAGGCCGTCTGCATTAAACCAGAAAGATGTTTCCTGACAGTTTTTCCTTTTCTTTCTCTTACAGAGTTTTTGTGCAGCCTTACATCAGGAACTCAAAGAATACTACCGACTTCTGTCTGTTTTGCATTCTCAGGTAAACTAAATGATTCTTAGTTAGCTCATTCAGATACTCTAAAACAAAGCAACTCCTAAAGGTGCGTGTAGGTATCCTTTTTAGAGCAGGAAGGATGTACAACAGATGCCATTGAAAGTAGATGCAATACTCTGTAACTTGCACATTACTTACTCTTTGGATGTAGATATTCATAAATGTTTTTCACTCAGAAATTTGATGCTTTTTGTGAGCAAGAAATGTAACAGGTGTTCCTAAGCCCCTGTCCCTTTTTGCTTCGCTTTTGTCAGTTTCATCTTATGTGATGTTTCTGTCATTCAAATCCCAAATGGCATGGCACATCTTTGAGAAAGGAGAAAAATGTTCTTTCTGTATTTCGAGCAACTTGTAGCTTAGAAGCTGGGAACAAGGACAGTTCTTTAACATTTATGACTTTTGAACGCTTGTCATTATTACTACTTGTATTTTTTCCTAGCTGCCATCCTGTTAATCTTTTAGTAATTATTTCCTGTTCTGTCCACAATAACTTTGGTTTTTTTTTTTTGGTTTGCTGTAGCTTTTTTCACCAGGAAAATATTTGATTTCTTTGAAATAAAGCTTTCAAACCTCTTTACCTTTCCTGCTTTCAAATAAGTGATGGCTTTGGTGGGAGGAGGTGCATATGATGGAAAAAGGAAGGTTCTAGTGCCACTCACTTGGGTTGACCACAGTGAGTAGCCAAGCTCTTATCCTGCTTCTCACTCAGTCTTGTTTCTTGGAAGTTGGGGAGAAAATGGAAGCACGGCAAAAACATAATTGAATTAATAATGATTTGACAGGGAAAGCAGAAGCTTTGTGCAGAAGCAAAGCAAAAGGAATAATTCATCCACTACTTTCCATCAGCAGGCAGATGTCCAATCTCTTCCTGGAAAGCAGGGCTCAGTGTGCTTGGGAAGGCAAATGCTGTCACAGTGAACTTTTTTCTGCTTTCCCTACTCTATTCTCTGAGCTTTTATTAGTAAAATGCTAATTACAGAACAAAAACTATGAAACACCATTTCATGCTTCAGTGCTTGCCAGTTTTGTTCCTTGATACGTCTGTCTATTTCTTATTTGATCAGCTCCAATTGGAAGATGATCAGGGTGTAAATTTGGGACTTGAGAGCAGCTTAACACTTCGTCGTCTTCTCGTCTGGACATATGATCCTAAAATAAGGTTAAAGACCCTTGCAGCACTTGTTGATCACTGTCAAGGTCTGTTTAATGTTCATCTAACACTTTTGGGAAAGTTATTTAACTTCTGAGTGGTTGTGCCTGCTAACTGCATATCACTAATATTGCTATTATATTTTTCTGAAAATTTTAAGTAGCTCATCTTCTGGAGTATCTCTTTTTGTTACTTCAAGCAGAAAACTGATGAGTAGATGCACTTAAACATATTGGTGGGTGTTTTGTTTGTTTGAAACATTTTTATTAAACTAGGACATGTTTAAAATATCCTTCAAATTTTAGCGACGTACCTTTCACACTGTTTTCAGTTATTTTAGTTATCTTTCAGAGAACCCTACTAACACTACAAAATGACTAGCTCAGCCTTTTCACTGGGTATGAGTATTTTTCTATGCAAGCTGGCGTATGGGAGCAATTTGCAACTTGTCTGCAGGTTGATGCAAAACAGCCAAACTTCTCAAATCTGAAAGAAGTATGCAGTAATGATCCACAAGGAAGAGCTGGGGAATGGTGTTGAAGTTGATCAAAACTTGGTCACTAACCAACCTAGGCCTGTACTGCAAGGACATTTTAAACTATGCAGTGTAACAGCAAAACAAGTGCTAGACATGTTTTATTTGATATATTTTTTTTGCAACTTCTTACTTTTCAATTGGAGGATGACGGGTTATGACACCTATAAAGAGAACTGTGGAGGAGACTGTCACTGCGAAGCAGAAAAGATACATTTGTGTTTGTATATGCACACAGAACAGCTGAGAGAGACAAAGTACAAGATAGAAAGAAAATAAATACTATAGCTTGTCCAACACTCTTACTGGTGTGGTTGGAAAGAAAGGAAGCATCAAGTCAACCTTTGTGGGTGATCTGATTCTGTAAATTTTACGTTACTGCAAGCTACTATATACCAGACAGAATGCCACATCTTAATACTTCAGTGAGATTAATGATTCATGCCTTAAAACCTAAGCATTCCTAGTCAACACTAAAAAATTTACTTTCTGTACATTTTAGAAGTGTGTTCAATAAGCTCTCAGTGACATGAGACTACTTAAAATTGATGGCTGCTGAATTTATTTATGGAGTATTTTAATTCCTTCATACAGTTCTGTTCCTTTTCCCTATGACCTTACAGGAAGAAAAGGTGGTGAACTAGCTTCAGCCGTTCATGCCTATACTAAAACAGGAGATCCCTACATGAGATCTCTGGTTCAGCACATTCTTGGCCTGGTCTCCCATCCTGTACTGAATTTTCTTTATCGATGGATTTATGATGGAGAGCTGGAGGATACATACCATGAGGTAATATATAAGAAATATATTATCTTTGTTCGTTTGCTTTATGGAAGCTTGTAGGAAGAGGAGAACTGAAGAAGTAAACTGTTATGTAAACATACTAAGTAAGTAATGCATACATTTACAACATGAAATGTGACTCTGCTTAATGAATTCAGTATTAGTGTGATGTCCTGAAGTTACAGTGATACAATATGTTGTCTTCAATAAATCATATCCTGGATCTATTTATAGATACAGAATAATGGAATAATGATAAATTCTCTCTTCTGATCAAAGCATCATCTCTGTATCCTCCTGTTTAGGAGCAGTAGTAATGTATGCAGAGTTCTTTTTAACTGTTTAGAATGAATATTCTACTTAGAATACCTCTTGTTATCTCTAGCCTCAAGTATCTTTGCTTTGTCAGATGGGATGGAACAGCCGATGGTTGCAGAGTTCCTCTAGAAATCCTGTAGTTATTCTATGGCTCACATTCTTCTTTTGATTTTAATATTTATTTCAATCTACAGTTCTTTGTAGCTTCAGATCCTACAGTCAAAACTGACCGGTTGTGGCATGACAAGTACACTTTGAGGAAATCAATGATCCCTTCTTTTATTACAATGGAGCAATCAAAAAAGGTATGTATTTAAAAATCAATCTCGCGATGATTTGTTGGCCTGTGCTGCTATTTAGATAGATATTAAGAAAATGGAGACCAAAGTTAGCAGTAGGTATTCATCTTAAAAATAACTAAATTACTAGAATTATGTACTAAGGAGGACTAAGGACTGTTTCAGGGTTTTTGTTGTTGTGTTTTGTTGGATTTTTTTTCAGTTTTCTAACTAGTAGTCTTTGTTTAAAGAGATTTTGAGTGTCACTGGAGTTCTGGGTTGCTGTGGTGGAGATTGCGAAACTAAGAGTGAAGAAAGATGACGATAAATTATTGTTGTGGTGATTGTGGGTGGACTTTCTGTTAACTTTTACCTAACATGCAAGTAGCTATTGAATTAATAATAATCTCTTGTTTTTAGGTCCTCCTAATAGGAAAATCCATAAACTTCTTGCATCAAGTTTGTCATGATCAAACTCCATCCACAAAGATGATTGCTGTGGCTAAATCTGCAGAATCTTCGAAGGGTGGTAGAGTATCAGTGTTGGTCAATTTCCCTTTCAACTGAGCTCTGTGCAGTATGTGGCTTAGACTATAAATTCACACTTCAGATAATGAGATGGAAGGGAGTTCAAAAATTCCACCTTTAAATTGCAGGGTTGTTTTTTTTTTTTTAACTGGTTAATTCAATTTTGCAGAACAGGTATGGAGATGTGTGTGTATAATTTTCTTAATTTGATGGGTTTGCTGAATGGTTTTTAAAGTACTGAGCTTCTGAATGAATCCAGGCATGATCAGTCTGCTTTCAGCTGACTTTAAGTTGGAGGAGTAGGATGAGAGCAGGCATATTCTTGAGTGTTGCTATGAGAATTGAGACTTCTCATCAAATACACATCACATAATTCCATAATAATAATAATAATTAATTAATTCTGTGATTTTTAAAAAGGTAATTAAAAATCCATTATATGTGGGATGCTAGTAAAATTGTTTTTGAAGACTTTAATATTGGTTTGCCTGCTGTTGACCGTTAAGCCAACTTAAGGTTAATTTCAGAACTTCCTCGGAGTATTTATTACTATTTCTTGCTATTTAGAAGAGCTTTCAGTTTTAATGTATATGGTATTTATGGTTATTCTGTGATAGCTTATTCTTTACAAAAAGGTTAGAGTTATGATTTTCATTTTGAGCATAGTGATGTCTTTTGCAAATATCTGTGAATTCTTTACATATGTTTGTACTTGGTGTCCTTTGGAGAGCTTTATAGGTTACTGAGAGTTGGGAAACCTCAGTGTGCCATTGAACCAGACTCAGAGACAAAGAATCAAAGAATGGTTTGGGTTGGAAGGGACCCCAAGGATCATCATGTTCCAACTCCCTGCAGCAGGCAGGGCCACCAACCTCCAGATCTGGTATTAGACCAGGCTGCCCAGGGTGCCATCCAACCTTGTCTTGAATGCCTCCAGGGCTGGAATATCCACAGCCTCTCTGGGCAGCCTGCTCCAGCACCTCACCACTCTCTGTGTCAAGGACTTCCCCCTGACATCCGATCTAAACCTTCCCTCCTTGAGCTTAAAACCATTCCTCCTTGTCCTATCACTGTCTACTCTTGCAGAAGGTGATAGGACTTTGTGAAGTTTGCCTCATTAAAGAGTGAATTCTTTGTTAGAATCATTTTTTGTTTACTAAGCTTAGAAGCAGTTTAGTAGTTGAGGCTGAATCTCAGCAGAGCAGCGTGTGAAACGTGGTTCTGACTTTTCATATCTGCAGCGCAGATTGGAACTAATTGTTGAACAGGCAGCGTGCTGTTTTGATACCTGGACCTCTGGTCTCTACCTTTTAGAGCAGCTGCTGTAGAACAAAAAACTGATGTAAAATGGGAGTGTATCCTTTAATGCTGAGGAAGGCCTGATAGTTCATCATCCATTATTTGGAGTTTTGCTGAAAGAAGCTATGTTACTTTTGCTATCTAATAGGAGCTTTATTGCAGTCCCTTTCTTAACAAGCTTATAGCCATAAAAAAGAGTGAAATACACTGCTTATGTCCTACTTTCTGGTCCCAAATTGCTCTACATTAAATGTGGAGAAGAAAGCAAAATGTTTCTGACTGTCCCCTAGATAATGCAACCATATTCCCTCATCTCGTGTTCTGATGTATCTGTGGAAGCTCTTTTCTGTTGGATGTTCTGACTGATTCTTTGAATGTTTTTTTCTTCTACCCTTAAATGTGGCTCCTAATTTAGATCCGTCCCCAACAGAGATTTTCCCAATCTGTACTTTTTGATCTCCTTCAAATGATTTCATTCTGTAAACTGCCATACTCCAACAAACTTAAAGGAAAATTCACTTTCTGTGTAGTAGTGATAATGTAATATGAGCTCAGAAGGTACGGGCTGGGTACATGCTAAAAGTAATATTGTTGAACTATGGGCTGCTTTAGACTTGCTTTCGCTTTGGCTATACCTAGTGCATAATATAGTGGATCAAAATAAATAGCAATTCCTCTGCTTGAACACTTCAATTTCAAAGCTTGTTTGCCTCATTTTTTTTGAAAAATACAAATTTAATTCTAATTTATTGTTTTTTAGCTGCTGATTTGTTCACAGATCTGGAAAATGCATTTCAAGAGAAAATTGATGCAGCTTATTTTGAGACCAGCAAATACTTGTTGGATGTTCTCAATAGGAAGTACAATCTACTGGAACACATGCAGGCCATGAGGCGTTACTTACTACTTGGTCAAGGAGACTTTATCAGACATTTAATGGATTTGCTCAAGTAAGAATAAGAAGGGTAATTATGGTGAATTTCTGATGCTCCCAAGTGTTCATAATTGGTACTATTTTGCTGTCAGAAGATGATGCTTGAGTTATTACTCAAAGGTTTACCTGAACAACTTTGAAATCCTATTTGCACCCCAAGGGCTGAAGGTAGGAAGTACATTCAGTATTATTTTATAGTGTCTTGAAAAGCTACACTTTTCATTGAGCCTGTGAGAGGCCCAGGGATGTTTGTACTTTGCTTGCTCCTGTCAGCAAGTTTAAGCAACAAAGTTCAGTTTCTGGAGCTCCTGACACCTCTAGTTAGTACTGTTCTGAGTGTTAGTCTTCTATATATTTTGGATGCATTTGGTCCAAAACATCCTTAATTCCTTTCTATTTTATTTAATTGATGCCTCATCAATCTCTGTTTAAGCATTCAAGAGTACCTAGAAGTTTAAGTTCATAAAGTGAATTTGCAAGCTGCTTTTGCATGCTGGTGCTACTTAGTCTACCAGAAATATCCTTAACAGAGCTTTCCTTTGTTCTGAAAGGCAGGCTTTCTAATAAAGCTTTCATCAACTTCTTTGTACATAACCTTGCTTTTTTATGTGGAAAATACTGTGAAGCAGAACAAAATTGGTGCATGAGAGTCAGTATTACATTTGAGACAGAAATAGAGAGGGGCTTTCCAGCACTGATCATGGGGGAGAGGATTGCAAAGCTTGCATGCTGCTGTCCTTGGAAGGTTGCACAGAGGGAGTGCGTTTGAGTTGTTCTGTCAGCAGTTCGAAGCCCATGAGGTGCCTATCAGTAAGTGTCTCAAAACAGTGAAACAGCTTTTGTGGTTTGATGTGTTGATGAGTTAATCTGCCTCATTTTAGATATAAATGCAACTGAGATTTCTTAATCGTTCTTATAGCAGTGCTAGTAATTTGAAATGACTGGCATTGAAGCAGGATAATCTTACTCCTCGTGCTGATGCTCAGATGTATAGCTGCGCATATATAAACAGTTATAAATATTTTGCTCATTGATTTTCTTTGTGGTTAAGACTGGAAGAGTAACATAAGAGGTTTCGAATTTTCAGGAAAGTATTTCACTGCATGCTGCAGTTAGAGCCAGTTGCTGCTACAGGCTATCTAAGAAGTCTGCCATGACTTTTTTGTTTCTTAACTTTCAGACCTGAGCTTGCACGACCAGCCACAACCTTGTACCAGCATAACCTAACAGGAATTCTTGAAACAGCAGTGAGGGCAACTAATGCACAGTTCGATAATCCTGAGATTCTCAAACGATTGGATGTTCGACTTCTGGAGGTTTGTTGCATTATGGTGACTCTGACCTGAAACAGAAGTGAATAAAAATCCATACAGTGTTTGTGTACGCAGGCATCTACATGAAACAAAATTTTGATACATACACATAGTAATTATTTTGTCCTCCCCTTTTTCCATTGAAGTCCACTTTGAAATATGCAAACCTCACTTAAGCCTTCTCTTCCCATCTCCTGCCTGTTGTCAATTTATATTTTGAATTGTGTTTGCACAGCCATTTCACTGACAAAACAAGGTCAAGTATTTGGGTCAAGTAATAGATGCAGATGGCCCTTATTTGGGGTTCTGTAAGCAGCTCTTGCTGATACTGCTCTTAAAAGAATCTTGGGGTGTTTTTTTTTTTTTTTTCCTCTCACCAGTAGTCATGAAGAGTGGAGAAATGCAAGTGCATTTTGTGAAGGATACCTCTACTAAGAAACTTGAGTTGATGAGGAGGTTCCAGCCCCAGAGGTGGGAACTGTCTGAACTCAGGCAACTGAAGTAAACCTGTTCTTAAGGCAAAGTCCTGCCTGAGAAGTCTCCTCTTCATTTATTTTAATATTTTCAGTGGAAAAACACTGGCAGCATGAACATCAGCAACTGGGTGAGGTGAATCCTGCCATTGTGTAAAGCATAGGTTAATTTTGGTTTAATCTACTACTCTTGACAATGAACTCCTGTGTCACGTATTGTTGTGGTTGCTTGCTTTTTCATATCAGCTTTTCATATTTCATCATAAGAAGCAGCAGCTCTTCTGCACTAGCATACTCTGATTAGCACTAAAGTTTACATGTCTTTTCAATTCAGGTATCTCCTGGGGACACTGGGTGGGATGTCTTCAGTTTGGACTATCATGTTGACGGACCAATAGCAACGGTAATGTCATATATTGCTGGTTGTGAACATGTCTCAGATGCTGAGCTAGATTGCTAAACATTTTGTTATTGAAATAACCTTCTTACTCTGGAGTGTACGATCAGAGAGACTCCTCTTTTTTTTTTTTTTTCCAGCATCAAGGATGTATCCAACAGCTGAGCCAAAACCTCAGTTCTTATAAATTAACAGTGAGTGCTGAAAAATTACATCCAAAACATTAATTACTGAAAATCAGTAGTTCATTTGTTCTAGCAGAGATTTTGGCAGATACTTAATAAATAAAGTGCTGCTCCTCATAGACCATTATTATGAGACTGTAGCAGCTACTCTGAGATAATTTGCAAGGAACTGGAGATTGTATCTGAGGAGAACTTACTTGTACTAACTAAATTAAATTTGATAGGTAGTGCTCACAAGAAATACTGAGGAAATAATTGTGTTGATAGAATCAATAGCAGTATTGATCAGAATGCATTTAGTCTCTGTAAAAATGTTGTAACACCAAAACATGAAGGAATTGTTACATACGTATGTAGTTTGAAGAGCAAAATGTTTAAGGTTTTTCTTGTTCACCCTTTCTTACCCTTCTATGCACATTAGATTGGAAGTGAGGAAAACCTCTCAAGAAGCAATTGCAGGTTCAAGCTTTTTCAGTTTCCAATCTGCTAGAACAACAAATACATTTGTACAGTGAATTGGAACTGGCAAAAGCATTAAGGCAGTTCTGAGAATTATTTACATTTATTTCAGTGTACTTAAATAGAAGACTCTTTTATGCAGAACAAATAAACTTTAGTGCATTTTTATTCAATTTTTCTTCAGTCTTCTTAAGAAATACCCTGTGCAAATACTGATAATGCAGGAATCTTTTTTGTATTAAACTAGGAAAAAATTAAAAGTGACAGTGCTGTAAGAAGACACAGTTGAAGTGCACTGGGGACCATACTCCAGAGTGCTTGACCATGGAGTGCTGCAGCTCTGCTGTTAGCAGTGCTTGGTGCTTATTTGAATGCTGGAGAGCTCAGCTCAGTTCTTGAGGGAGCATTTTCCTAAGAGCTTTTTTTGTTCTGCTGATATTTTACAATGAACTGCATGGGTCAGAATAGATGAACTGGGAAGATGTTATTGGTCCTTCAGAACACATGAGATCTGTTAAATCTGTACTGATACTTTGTTTTGTAGGTGTTTACACGTGAGTGCATGAGCCACTATTTAAGAGTATTTAATTTCCTTTGGAGAGCGAAGCGAATGGAGTACATTCTTACTGATATATGGAAAGGACACATGTGCAATGCAAAGCTTTTGAAAAGTATGCCAGGTGAGAGGTCTGAATGGATGACATACTCATAAACTGGGTTTAGATTACTGTAACTGATTTTTAAATGGCCAAAAAAATCAGTTGTGACAAATGAAGTTTATATTTTGTTGCTGGTTTTGATTGACTGTTTAATGATAGAGAGTGAAGATGAAATAGCTTTATTGTGTATGGAAGTTTCCTGCTTGTTTAACCTAGTCCTAGATTATGGGTTTTTGTAGCAGTGAAGAAATGAAGCATCCCATGTCTCTGGAAAGAGACCGTTACTCTTTCATCTCCTTTTATTCATCTTCCTTGATCTTCCCTCCCTTCCTTGATCTGTACCCTCTACTTCCCTTTGTCTTGTGCTGGGAGTACTAAGTCTTCCACATACACACTTCCAAATTTACTAGTTTTACCATTATTTGTTTCTTTTATTTAGCTAAGAACAGAAGACACTAAGATAAGAGAAGCAGGTGTTTGAGCAGCAACAGGAAAGCTGTTAAGTGTAGTGGCTCTTTATGCTTGGGAACTTTTGATTGTGTTTTTCTGTAGAGAATATAGAATTGTTTGAGCATCTGTACTGGCTAAAGGTTGACTTCTGACCTAACTACATTTTCTCTGTTTAAAAAAAAAAATAAAAAAAGCTATTGGGGGTTACAGTTCTTTGTGGCACAGTAGTGTTTACAGAAATGCTTTTATAATTGGGAACTGTTTGATGAGTGGAAGCAGGTACCTTGGCCTCGGGAGCTCTTGTAAAGATCAGCTTGCAGGGCTGATCTCTGGACTATACAGAATGACTAAGTTTCCTTTCTGTGAGTAAACTTTAGATTTACTTTACTGTTGCTCCTTTATACCAAAGAAGTCCTTGTTTGACTTAAAACCAGTGGTGTATTGTGTTCTCTCCTTATGTTCCCTTTGAGAATAGGGTGTGGTTTTATTCTCCTCACTTGAAGGTCTTCAGGCTGAAACCATCTCCTACAGCTACATATTTTCTGCTTTCAGAAGACATACCTGGGAGAGCTTTCTTATGCTTTTTTTGTGGAGCATTCTTCTGTAGATTAAATCATAACAGGTTGTCACCTTTAGATCTGGCTACTTTTTAGGTAATGCTTTGCATTTAAAATGCTACCCAAGATGTTACAGCTATTGCTAGCAGATGGAGCTCAGTGTTGCATTTGAGTGTAATGCTCTGACAGAGGAGTGTGTGTTTTACAAATATCTGCCTTCTGCCTGAAGGGACTGGAGGCTTTCTCATTCTCTGACATGTCTAAGTTGGAAGCTGTGGGTAGATTTTTCTTCCAATATGTGCAATACATGGAGAGACTGCCACAGCACTGATTTGCAAAGAAGAAGCAGAACTTGCTTCATTTTCTTTCTCTTCCTCCAGAACAGTAACTTACCCTTCTAGACACAGAGCAGAAACTGGAAGACAGTAATTGATAGAAGTGCCTGTAGGAGGGTCTTTGTTTTTCAACCACCATATGGTAGCACTGACTTTGTAGGATAGCTTTGCTCAGCATTCCCTAACAGCCAGGGTTTTCAATGCTTTCAAGGACCACTACTGAACTGTAGTGCCAGTCTTGCTCTTTTCTTATCAGGAAATTGGATAAAAAATATAGATGTATCCAACTCACATAGGCATGTTGGGCAGTTCCTGTTGTTTAACCAGTCCTGGCATTTTTATTTTTTATTTTTAAATTGACTCTGTTTAAAGAAGATGCAATATATGTATAAAAGAGTCTTCCTACAAAGGCATAGAAAATGAACAGAATACCTTGTTGTGCTGTCAATGAGATCATTAGATGGGTCTGTAACATTGTAGATAGGAAAATGCAGAATTTCTTGTGTGTTGGAGCCTCATAGCTTTGGCAGCGTTTTAGAAATGACTTCCTCTGTTTGGATGTCTGCTTGATTCCAGACAGAAGAATCCTCCATTCTAGAGGGTTTTTGCAGTTGATGATAATCTTAATGGTACCCTTCTCTGTCTTAGACAAATGCACTGGGTGAATAGGCCTGGACTACTAGAGCTACAGATTCCCTACTCCTGTTGCAGCCCCCCTCTTTTCTCTTCTCAGTGTGGTAGTACAAAATATGCCACTTGTAGTATGAAGACTAGTGGCAGGAGGTACAAGAGATCCCAGATGAACTGCAGATCTGTGGCCTTAGATTTTTCAGCCAAAAGAGAGCATGGAACATGCTGTGTTTTTGCCTCTAAGGACTAAAAGGGTCTCAGTTGTGATAGTCTGCGAATTTCCAGTGCTGTCTGAGCGTGCAGTTGGTGTCTTTAGCTAACATTTTTGAGGAACTAATTGTGCAATGTTCTTTGTTCAGCTGTTTTTTTCCAGTGTTGCTACTGCCATCCAAGACTAGTGGCTGTCTTATGAGTTATTCAGTTTGGTAGAAAAAAGATTACCGAGCTGGTTTGATGGCTGTGCTTGTCCTTGTGGTCTTTAACATGCCATCTCTTTGAATTTTTTCTTTACAGAGCTTTCTGGGGTGCTGCATCAGTGTCACGTTCTGGCATCAGAAATGGTCCATTTCATTCATCAAATGCAGTATTACATTACATTTGAGGTATACTCTATCCATCCAATATGTTGCTTAAAAACGAAGTACTTTTAATGTTCTGTATGTGTTGTGTGTCTTAAGTTTCAAAGAGCTTGTCATCTAGCAAATCAAAACAGCCCAATCCTGAATCATTGTACTCCAGGTGCTTGAATGCTCGTGGGATGAACTCTGGAACAAGGTCCAACAAGCACAGGACTTAGATCACATCATTGCAGCTCATGAAGTTTTTCTGGACACAATCATAGCTCGGTGCTTGCTGGATAGTGATTCCAGGGTAAGTCTTCTCCTTTGCATTAAATTGTAACTGTGAGCTTATCTTATGAATTTCGAACCTTCTTCTCTTACGTTCCAGGACAAAGGAGAAAAGTCAGTTTTCTCCCTCTCAAATAAGACCTTGTTGTAGGAGGCTGCTCCTTGCACACACTAATAGGTGCTGGTTATAAAACTTTTGCAAGGTGGGCCAGTTGCTTATAGTCCTGAGAAGCAAAGTTGTTATGCAACAATTGACTGGGAACTTTGCAAAGCAGTTTCTTCAGCTAAACATGGGAAAATTTAATTTACGTTCTCAAGAGTGCTAGTATGCTTTTACTGTAATACTCTTTCATTGTTTTGTTACTTAACTGTCTCACAGGTACTTCTCAACCAACTTCGAGCTGTTTTTGATCAGATCATTGAGCTTCAGAATGCCCAAGATGCAATGTACAGAGCTGCTCTGGAAGAGTTGCAACTAAGATTGCAATTTGAAGAGAGGAAGAAGCAGCGTGAGCTTGAGGTACAGTAAGAACATTACTAAAATATGAAAACTAGTTGAATAATATCTAATTAATGTCTGGTATGGAATGTTTTTACTTCAGCTACAGCTACAAAAGAAATGAAAAATGTATTGAGACGCATGTGAAACTCATCAGCAGTAGGTAGTGAGTTTAAACAAAACCTCCAAATGACGTTTCATTTGTGTCTTACTCAAATCTCTGAGTGGATGGAGTTTGCACTGGGCTTGGAAGGACAAGGCATTTGGGGATGTTTTAGGTGAACGAAATGGTAGAGCCTTGAATATTCTGAATCTTCTTGCAAATAATGCCTGCATACTGGCACGTGGGATGTGCAGTGCTGGTACAAGACTCAACTGCTTTGCTGATCTCAGACTTCCTTGGTAATAAAAGTCTTTCTGTGAAGAATGTGAGAAGAGCTTCTCTCAATTGCCATTGTAAAAGATCATGTAATAGCACACCTTGAATGTTTTCATGTGCTGTACAACCACGGAGAGGACTGATAATTTCAGCCTTAGAAGGTCCATGTTTGGCTTTCTTTGGCTGCATTTGACCATGTGAACATGGTAGTTCAGCCCGGCAGAAGGTGGACAGAGCTAACAACTTCTATCATGTGACAATTGAATTCTTACTCATTTTTCTCTCTGTGTAGGGCAAATGGGGTGTAACTGCATCAGAAGAAGAAGAAGAGAAGAAAAGGATAAAAGAATTTCAAGACTCAGTACCCAAAATGTGCTCACAGCTCCGAATACTCACTCACTTTTACCAGGTACCCTTTAGATATGTATATCTACATCTATATGTATCTAATATGTATATCTGTATATACCCTTTATATATGTATATCTATATGTATATCTTTAGATATGTATGTAGATATATATATATATTTTTTTTTAATTATTTTTTTTTTAATATGGGTCATTAATTACAATATGTAGAAATCAATTTCACAAACAGGGTAACTTTTGTTTGTGGATCTAGGTCTTTATTTCTTTGTTGTACTTAGATGCCTGTGTTCACCATTCCTTAATAGACAGCACAGATGTGATGTGAATTATTCTGGCTTTGTCTTAGTATGTTATAACTCCTGCTGGAGCTCCCATTTCCCAGGAAAATGAGCTGATACATTTTGAGGAGAGTGTTCAGAAAGCAGTGAAAAAGGGGGCACAGCATTATGTGCCACAGCAGACTTTCAGAGTCAGAGCACAGAAAACCCAGAATCCTACCCCAAACTCCACTCTTGTCTTTCACATATGAGAAATTCTTGGTGTAATATAGTCTGCCTTTAACTTTTCTTGAATATCATCTTTGGCATACCTGAAAATAAGATTTTTTTTTAATGATATTGATGCCAAGTTTGAATTAAAGCTGCAGGGTTTGCTTTCTTCCTGCGCTATTGCTGTCCTGGATGAAGTGATGCTGAGTGTTGATTTCACATGCAGATTTTAAGGAAAGCAGAATACTGTGCTCAGTATAGCAAATATTGGTGTCTCTTTTTTTTGAAGGCTGTAGAGATCCTGGGCTTTGATAGGAGAACTTCAAATCTGGGAGGATTTTGCCTCCTGCATCCAAATATTGTACTTCTCCCTTCCAGAGAAAAATAGAGTCAGATAACTTAAGAGCTGTAAGCTGTGAATAGATCATAGTTTGTGTGCTTTGCAGGACTGCTACAAGTTGGCAGTGTAGCTTTGTCAGCTTGGGCTGTGTTCCTGTCAGCCCTACCACAGATTTTTCGTGCAAGGACCTCTCTGGCCATCCGTAGTCGTCATTGGAAGTATTTAGGAAGGTAAATGGGAGGTGCCTGCTCATAGGCATGTCCATATTAGTATTTAATGGAGATCAGGAATGAGCTCTTGATGGGAGTTTTCCCATCCTCCCAAAGCTGTGCGTTTTCCTGTATGCTGTGGAGCTCCTGCAGCCCCTTGGCCAGAAATGTGCCTCCAGCTTCCTAATTGCAAGTCCCAAGTCAAAACTGCTTCCAATACACAGTCTAGTCACTGAGTCTGCGGCCCTGGCTGCCCTACTTAGCAGATCTTTTGCTGTTCCAAATATCAAACAGTATGTTTGAAATAAGCAGTGATTTATAGCTGTTCTAGTCTGTATTGTACATAGAACATAAAAACAAACATTAAGGTCACCTTGTCCTGAATTACCCTAAGTGTAGCGGGGCTGCCCTGGGAGAGCAGGCACACAGGAATGCTCCTCTGCAGCCTCTGTAGCCTTAGGACAGATGGAGAGCCCTAGCTGGGCAAGGGGATGGTCTGTTTGAAAGACTGAGCTATATGCACTGAAAATTTGGAAGTGTCTATGGCAGAAATTTGAAGGTAAAAGCAAGCTGTGGGCTTTTTGTAGAAAGAGTAAGTCCTGTGTATAACTAATTTGCTGACATTTGAATATAAATTCTTGTGCTTGTCTTTTCCTGGATTCCCTCTGTTGAATAAACCTTGTTGTCAGTCTTAGACACCACCTAGAATACCTGTGTGAAGCATACTACTGTTGCTTTCTTAGCTGTTTCTTGATTCTTTCTTTTTTCTCATTTAGGGAATCGTCCAGCAGTTCTTGGTCTTGCTGACAACCAGTTCTGATGAAAGCCTTCGATTTCTTAGCTTTAGACTGGACTTCAATGAGCATTACAAAGCAAGAGAACCAAGGCTTCGTGTGTCTTTGGGCACTAGAGGCAGACGAAGCTCACATATGTGAAATAGCTGCTAAGGACTGCACCTCGGTATCCGAAGGATGTTGAACCTCTTGTTGGACAAGGCAGTCAGTGTTGACATAATAAAACCAAATTGTGTGTAGTAGGTGTCCACCATTTCTGCAGACAACATGTTTTCAGTCATGTGATTGTGTGACACTATATAACAGGAAGCAAAAAAGTAGGTTTGTGGATTTTGGTTCTTTTTTTTTTTTTTTACACTAATGTTTATAGAATTATCAGAGTAAATGGGCTTCTTGAAACTGTTAGAATTATCCTTAAGTCATCCTTTCAAACAAATGCCATTTTTATTTGAAGCTTTGTAAGTTCTCTCCACTGTAACTTATATTTGTGTCGAAAAAATCACATCTTTTGTTTCAGAAAGCACCATTTCCTTTTTTAACAAGAAAATAAAAAGGTTATTTTTTCTATATGTACTTGTTCTATTTGAAAAGAGCTTTTGTTAAAGCCAACAGATCAGGACACAGACCTCTTGTCCTCATTATGAACCTATCCAGCATTTCATTATGCTGATTTTCAGTTTTGTGATGTGTTTGACTGTGTAAGAAACTTTGTATCTGGAGACATAAACTTCTATTTAATTTTTTCTTTGTTTTCAAAGTTTACAATTTGAAATAAAGAAAAATACTTGGCAAATTCTATAGTTACTGTACAGGAGAAAACTATAGAAATAGAGCCAGAAATAAATCTATTGCACATAAGATCTAAGAACTGAAGTTACTCAGTGCTGTAAAAGTGTAAGTTTCAATTAAGATTAAAGTGATTGAAATAATTGGTGTTCAAAATCTGATGTGTAGAAGCAATCTAAATTGGATAATGTCGATTTCATTCTCTTCCCTTGCCTATTTTTTCATTGTAAATATTTATATATTGCTGTCCAGATGTGGGGAGAGGAGGGATTCTTCTTTTGCAAAGTTGTCACTATATCAGGTCATTTATTATGTTCCACAGGTACAAGCTTAGAAAAATAAAAACAACTATCTTTCAAACATTGGCTTTGCTTTTTGTAATTGGAAAGTTATGATTCTTTGACAGGGTAAGAAAGGAGGAGCTCACAGCTGGGAATGTATTGGCCTACAGATCTCTGCCCACTACAGCCTTTTGGTATGGTATTATCCATTCTTACAGTTGTATGTAATTCATTAATTAACAGCTTCCCTCTGATGAAACAACTCTCTGGGCTTTTTTGCCTTTTGCCCTTATTCTGTCCAAACCTTGGGAAGCAGAAGGAGTGGCCAGGCCATTCAGGCAAAGCTGATGTGATATGAGTGGCAGGACCTCTTGTGGGAATGATGCATAAAACGTGCAGGCCTGGACTAGCAGGCTTGCCTTCCAGAATTCTGCTGCAGTGCTCCCAAAAATGTTGTAACACAGGTTTTGGGGTTCTTACTTTTATTAAATAAAACATGTAAGCCTTTTTTTTAGCCCTGTGTTAAAGAACCTGCCAGTGCACCTCAATTCACTAGAGTATTTGCAGGCAGCATTTCAGCCATAAGAAAGTCACGACGCTGAAGCAAGTAATAATCTGTGTGCCAGGGGAAAGCTGAAGGTTTCAGAGCTTGGCATCATAACAATAAAAACCACTTTATGGGTAGGAATACTCTGGTTTTGTGTGTGTGGTGATAGTGTAGTGTTCTTGCAGTACCTGAAAGAACTAAGAAGTTTTGGGGATTGTGTTTTGACCAATACCTCTCCTCCACCCAAAACTGCTGACAAAGTTGTATCTGCATGGCTATTCTATTGGCCATTTTCTTGAAAGACATGTACAAGGGCTGCTCCAAAAGTAATGCCTCCTAATTTACTCTGTTGGTCTGCATCAAAGGTGGATGTTGGTGATATGGCAATAGAAGCTGAACTTGAATTCCTCTATATGGAAAACATTGCACCTATTGACATTCATTGACGCTTGCTGAACATTTATGGAGGCCGAACAGTGGATGTGGGCAAAGTGAGGCAGTAGGTGGTGCCTTTCATCAATGGCCACAGTGATGTGAAAGACAAGCCATGTTCCAGGCAGCTATGCAGATTTTTGAGCGTGGCTTGTAGGCTCTTGTTCATTGCTGGTGAAAAATTCATAGCTAATAGTGGTGACTGTGTGGAAAATAGTGTTTTAAAGCTGAGAATTTGATCTCAAGTAGTGTTACTGTGCTCTTTGTATCTGTTGTAGTTTCCATGGAAATAAACAGGAGGGCATTACTTTCAGAGCAACCTGCATAAAATGGAACAACAAAACAGTTGTAGAGAGAACAAGGTATTTGAACCATCTTTTGGCCCTATACTGTTATAGCCAGATTCTCATCAAGTTTTGATCCATTCCCTTGAACAGCATCTACTTCCAGTCATTCTTTGGGTTTGGAAAGAATTATATCAGCAGGATTGTTTGTGGAACAGGATTTGGAAACCGTTTTTTGTTGTTTTTTTTTTTTTTTTTTTTCCTCTCTGCTATCCTTCATGGATTACACTTATTTTCCAGATGACTTCTTACTTAGGCGAGACTACAGTTCTAGTGAATGAGACACTATGGAATTACAGTTATTCTTTGGTGGTGTGTTCTCAGCAGCCAAGCATGGACCCCAGGGTGGCCAGCACCACAGCTGCAGCCTTTCTGTGCCTTTATGATGTGACCTCTGAAGTTCTCTCAGCACCAGTACCTGGAAGAAATGATTCTCTGTTTGTGAGTTCTGCATTGCTGTCTGTCTCCCAGTGTACTGACGAGCCCAAGTGGTTCTCTTCTGCACTTGGTTTCTGCCCCTTGTTCCTCTGTCTTAGCACCAGAGGATGGGGATGATCAGGTCCAGTCACCCACAAAGAAGAATGCACTCACAAAGGAAAGGCTGATCTTTTTCTGCCTCCACCTGTGCTTCTGGGCTTTGGACAAGGGCTGTTTGCTGGAGCCCCTGGATTCATTGGGAGTATGATAAAATATACTGAAGTCATTAAAAAGAAAACCAATGGGAAAGGAAGATGAATATTGCCTGACTATCTAGAATGGCATTTGACTCACAAGCTGGATAAACATGGCCTACAGCTACAACCGTAAACACATAGGGAAAAGTTCCCCGGATGTTGCCAAGTACTTCTTTATGTTAAGTGCATGGAAGGGGAGCAGGGGAAATGCATAGATCTAGGCAGCCAAGGCTGCAGCGGTGCCTGGATGACCTGAGTGGAGGAACTTCATGTTCTCAACATACACAAGTGATTCCTCAATGTCTCAAAATCAGGGTTCTGCCACACAGCTGCAGAGGTGGCAGCTGTGGGTGCATCTGCAACCAGAGGCAGAAGAGAATGGCTGCTGTGAAACACTCCAGTATCCTTCCTCAGCTTTGAAAGGCAGGGAATGCACCTTGGATACACAATTATTGCCTCACAGTTTTCTCCCAGCAGGTCGCACTCAGCCCTTGTGCATGGCAGAGCATTAGCAGGAAGCGGTCTGTAATATCACATGAACAAAAGCTGAAATGAAATGTGTGTTCTGTGAGGTGAGTGAACAGTGACTTCTCACCTCTGTGATCCCGCTGTTTTTTTCATTCTGTATTGTAATAGGCTGCACAAAAAAAGGAGCTGCTGTTGATGCAAGGGGAGGATGGAAGGATATGAGATCTGTGTTTGAGTGGAGGTGCCCATACCGGAGGAGGGGCAACACTGAACTTTTGAGAGGAACAAAATATAAAAAGAGAGATATTTATGGCTTTTAGAAGGTTGTCATGGACAGCATATCCCTGTGTTTTTCACAGAGCTCAAGAGCAATGTCCAGACCGGAAGCCCCAGAGGAACAGCTCTAAGAAAACATGGAAAATGTTATTATCTTTTGTGGTGGGGTTCTTCTTTAGTAACTGCTGCACAGGGCCTGGTCACCTTGATATGACCTGGTAGCTCTGTTTTTCTTTCCACATTGTGCTAGGCTTCTCTATAATGGAATGACAGGCTGTCGGAGGATCATGTAATGCCTGGGTGGCTTCTGCCAGGTGTGGAGGGGCCTGAATGAGGTCTCCAAGGACATCAGTACTGACAGCTCACCTCTGGGATTCCCACGAGGCTCGGAACCAATCTTCATGGGAGGAGTTGGACGTGCACTGCCAACACAATCATCTGGAATGGAGTACAGCGGAGAAAAGCTTTCTTGGTACGATGCAGTGCAGATGCCTAATGATGAAATGCTGAAGGGATCACACAGGACTGCATTCCTTTGCACTGCGGAGGAGTTTGGGTGAGCTGTTGGCTGGGGTCTGGCAACTCCCCAAATGCTGCACTACTGGAAGTTTCATCACAAAAACACCACTTGTCTATCCTATCCAAGTTATCCAGAGCAAGGAGGGATGTCACCTTCTCGTGTCTCTCAGCTGGAAGTACAGTGCTAACTGGCAGTGTGCTTTGCTAGAAAGCCTTGTGCTATTCTCAGGTTACCTTCTCCATATAGATTTTTTTTTTTCCACTGAGACGAAAAATAAATACTTCAGGATGTTTCCCTGATCCATCTGAGCAGTGTTCTTAATTTCCTGAGTGACTCACAAAGATCTTTTTTAAGCTTTTAAGAAGTAATCTTGTGTTGCCAGAAGATGGTGTGCTTCCACCACATTGTGCCGCAGGCAGAACGAGAAAGGGATTCCATTGGCAGTGCCGTATGGGCTCTTCTGGTAATGTAACAACAGTCAAGATGAAATCAGTTGAGGTGAAATCCAAAGGAGTTTGTGATCTATATATATTTCACACAAATTATTTGTCAATGAGCACATGCCTGTATCTATTTTCAGGAATATTCTGCTTCTCATTTCAATGGACTTTGTATATAAAGTCATTTTATCAAAATAAGTTATGAAATAATAATATTAAAATAAATCATTGTTAGGGGAATATAGTGACCTTAAGAGAATAAATGAACACTCAAGATTTTACATTCTTGCATGTCATTTCATATTTCAAACACTGATCATGAAACATTTGAAATTTTTGTACGCAAGTACCTTCTTAGTTTTCTATTCCTTGATGTAGACCTTGCTGGAAGTCTTATATTAAAGCTGTCAGGTGTGAAGCAATTTATTCTGTAGAAAAGACAAAAATCTGCCTTCTGTGCAAAAACAGTGAACTGAAACAGAAAAGTTTTAATCCAAATTCTTCCAGATATTGGTGGTAAAGTCTTAAAAGAGAATCAGTTTTCAAATCTAGTAAAGGTATGCCTTTGCAGTATGCTCATCTGAGTGCTATACAGTGGTATCTTCCTTCTTTCCTACCCATGGGGGATCCGTCGTAGGCTGACAAAAGACAAGAATACTCATTTTTAGGCTTTTCTGATGACATTTTAGAATGGTTAAAGCACTCTTTATAACTGACCTCATTTATAAAGCTGGGGAAGTGCAGCATTGCAGATGGCATTACGAGAGATTTTATAACATGAGATCTATGTTATAAAATCTCTAAGGCCACAAAGAGGTCTATTTCAACAATGTTTATGCTTTTACAGTGAGAGAACAGCCGAACAAGTATTATCCTTTCATGGCTTCTACACACAGTGAACCCTAAGCCCAAAGAGTGTATGGGTGATGCTGGAGCATCAACAAAGAACACACGTTGTTGGAAATGTATGTGCTATTCTCCGTATGAAAGTGGCCCAGCTTGCCTAGCTGTGTTTCTTGCTTGTTTTTCTGTGGAGGTAAGTCAGGGCTACTGGGGCACAAGTGCTGAGCATGGCAGTACAGGAAATGGACCAAAAAGCCACGTAGCTGTCTGGCTGCATAAGCTGTAAAGAAAGGAGCTTGCATGCATTTTTTTTTTGTTCTTTGTTATTGGGTATTCTCCAATCTTAAAATGAAACAGACATTTTTGCTACTGGTTTTTCAGTGTTGAATTGAAGTGAAACATTTCAGCTTCACTGGGAAGCATTACCAAGACTGCAGGACTAAGCTTCCCCTGACATTCTTGCAGTTCCTTAGAGAAGTGATTGATAGTGCTGATGTAGCGAGACCAACTTGCTCTTCTTTCAGCTTTTGCCACT